CATCATCCATCATCCATCATCCATCATCCATCATCCATCATCCATCATTCATCATCCCATCCCATCCCATCCCATCATCATTATTCATCATCTGTGAATTCTTATCACTGAGCCAGTGAGCTGAGGACGAGGTTTACATCTTCTACTTGCCTGATGGGCAGCCTGGGGGTGAGCATCTCAACGCCGACTCATTCAAATTTCGGGGCCGCCTTGCTACACCGATTCCAACTACGCGAAAGCCTGGCCGGGAGAATTTCTCCCTCCGTCATCTTTCCAGCGTTAGCCCACCTGATGCTAGGCTGTTGCTGGATACAGAGCCACAAGTCTTGTGCTTAGAGACTTGTGTGACTGGAGTGAAGGCTGGTGAGTATTTACAATTTTCAAACCTGCTGAAATTGTTTCCAATCCCTGGGGAAACAATTGATGCAACGTGTCGCCACGTGCGGTACCTCGTCTGATATAACAGTTGACTCGTCGCGTAGTCGCGTCATGTTCTTTTTGACACCGTCGGACCATGTGACTAGTGGTTAGTTCGCCTGTTTGTTCGCCTGGCCGGCGGCGGCCTGGCATGGCCACTTTTCACTGAATTAATTGAGGCACATTTCATCTGGCCGCAACTTGGAGGACATCATCGGCCGCCCTGCTGCAGCTTCTACTTCTACCGTGGTAGTTGCCTCCACGAGAGCTAGGGAACCATCGGTCCTTGACGCGCTTTTAAATCAAGTTCTTGAGGGCGCGAGAGATGGCAATGTGGCCTTGGTGCAGGACCGTTGCGCCAAGATCTCCAAACTTTGCACCTTCACTAAAGTTCAACAGAGCCGTTTTTTGACAGCAAGTTCCAGTTCTAATGCCATTGATCTGAAGCGGCGTCCTGGTGGACTCCAATACTCCCCAACCTACATTCTTCGCTGTGTTCTACTGGCAGATCGGTTGCGCCTTGCCTGCAAATTGACTTCGAACTTGGATGGACTAACAAAGCGGCGCTGAAGTTAAGCACTTCACTTCAGTGTTAGTGATTCTCAGTCTCAGACTAAAACCATCGCGCCTGCGACCTGAGCCTGAGTGACTGACAGGCGTTCCTCAGATGATATGAAGGCCACCTTGTTTGAGTCGCTTGTCTCAACCTCAGGTGACTCAGGGACTCAGGGTGGGAGTGGGGCAGCAGCAGTGGGGCAGGCGGCAGGCTGAGTTGTCGGTTTCCTCTGCTCACCTCAATTCGGTTCCAGCCATATACATCACATTTCCCCGTGCCATTATTATTATGATGATGATTATTAATATTAATTATGATTCATGATTCTCTTTTATATACTCAATACTCTGTTACAGTAGAGGAAAACCCTCCTCATGTCATGTCATAGAGAATGGGGCCCAAACTGTGTTTTTCAAGGAAGCTGGTTCTGGTTCCCCTCAGTTACTTGACGCGCTTTGGGCTTCGATTCGGACAGTAGCAGTGTGTAGCAGTAGCAGTGGTTACAGTCCCAATTCCCAATTGCCCGGGGCCCAGGTCGCTTGAAATGACTTTGCGCCCAGACTTGTTCAACCACTTCATGCATCAAGAGCTTCCTGTCCCGTCACCGGCGGTTGTTTGTCGGAGCAGAACTGAGTTGGATATGGCAAGCTGTGTCTTTGCGAGGCGGCGCTTGTTTGATTGCAAACTCAACTGGTTCTTGCATTTGCGGGCTGATGCCAGCCCGCAGGGTGGCAGGGATTATCTGGTTGTTGAGACTGACTACTGCAGAATGGGGGGTGCCCAGTCATTCCACTCCAACAAGTCAGTACGCGAACAGATTGATGAAGGGAGATTTTCCATTGCCAAGCGCCTTCTTCCACTGTCCGTGATTGGGGCTCGGGCAGCATCAAGTGTACACAAAGCACAGAACCTCTTGCAAGCGTTGGGGATGGAAGCCAGTGATTTGACAGTGGCTGTCCGTCGGACTTATTCATTTTTGAGTGACTTCGGCGCAGAAGCTGGTGTGTGGAACATGCCGTCCATTTCCCCATCGGAGGATGACAATTTTGTGCCTGGCAGACTTTTTCCGTTGGCACTTCCTATCTCCGATGTGGACCACGGACTACATCACGTAACTCGACTATGTTGCAGATGTCAGATGTCTGGGGCTAGTCAGAGTCTGGGGTATTGGAATTGTTGAAGAACTAACTAACTACTACTGATGTGAACGTGAACTGTGCGAACTCTCTCTCCAGGTTCTAGATTGATTTCATTGAAATCATTTCAATCCAGATTCTAGAATTCTAGATTCTAGATTCTAGATTAGATTTAGATTCAGGCGGATTCTAGATTTGATTTGATTCTGATTCTAGAAGATAAGTTTCAAGTTTCAAGTTTCAAGCTTCAAGTCAAGTCAATTCAAACTACATATTATATTATTAAGTTTGACTTGACTTGACAATGTCGACAATATACAATTATGTTATAGTTATAACTGTCACACTTCGGACGGACTCAAGACTCACGACAGACTCAAGACGACGACGACAACCGCCGACAACCTTCATTTATTTTGTGGCAAGCAAACATAGACGAGTGCTGTCGCTGTCACTGTTCTTACTACTTGGCTGAAACTGAAACCTTTGCACCTTGCGCCGCACAGGTAATGTCAGAGATTCCAGCATCGTTCTCCGAATGGCAGTGGTTCAAGCAAACAGTGACGGCTTTTGCCAAGGCATTTGGCTCTTATCACCGGTTGAGTCGCTTCAGGGATGTTTGTATCCGTCAGAATCCTTCAGTGGCGGAACAACACAAGGACATGTTTGCGGCCAACTTCAAACACATATGTCCATCCTACACAGAGCACAGGTGGCACTACCTTTATGACACCTTGGAATGGATAGTCCCAAGGAGAGCTGCGCTAGAGTTTCTCAAGCTAGATGATTTATTGCAGGGCGAGAACTCTTCGAAAGCTGACTCTGAGCATTCCCTGAGCAAGGCGGAATGGGAAATGCTCCGCTGCATGCAATCAGATCAACGGCATGCCACCCTATTTTGGACAATGGCTGGGCTGTGCCAACAGTTGGCTCAGTGGGGGAAGGGCTTTGCTTTCCAACTTCATTCCTGCCCATGCAGATGTAAGGAAAAGAAGAAAACTGAATTGGGAAGGAGCCAAGATAGTCCAGTTGGCGGCTCAAAACCGTCAAAACCTTGCCCAATGATAGGGCGCACAGGGGTCTTGCTTGCGTCAGGGCTGGCAGATGCTGCGATTTGCGAGTTGAGAAACATTACGAATGCCTTTCCTGCCCATCTTACTGAATCCGTGGCTGCTTTGCGAACCGCAGATCCAGAACAAGCTCGAAAACTGATGAACGATTTCCAAGGCTCCATCGGAAGAATCGCATTCAGAGCTGGGCAACATTTCAGCTATTGGAATGACCTTCCTTGGTCTTTGCTCATGGTCATGCGCCCATATGTTGAGAGATTCGACACTCCAACTGAAGTTTCTTGGCTATCCTAACCAAGTAGAAAATAGTTTCATTCCACAGAAGCTACTGTTGCTTTGCTGCCGGGCGCCATGACCTTGTTCTTTACATGTCCATGCCATTCAACAATTCGACCCACCCTTTGTTTTCTGCCGAAACACCATGCTCCACTCCACTTTCACGAAGTGCAACTTTTCGACCGGACCGATAGAAACACATACATCATCATCACCATCATCATGTCCATTGATTATGATTGGGTGACGTTTGTGCCTGCGCTTTGTTGCCTTAGGCTGAGGACTGCGAAAGGTTATGCCGTCAAGCGGCAAAGTTGCTGATTGTCAAGCACGACAAAACAAGCAACAAAGCAGCGCTTGGACTCATTACTTTCCGCTTTCTCAATCCTGCCGGCCCATTCAGGGAGCACTTTGCACTGTGGTCAAGAGGAGGTCCAATGCACAATGTGATGTTCGATGAGCTTTTTGCTTACAGCACTGTCCTTTTGAGCATGCAGCGGCTGGAAGGAAGACACTCCATTTTAAAGAGACAACTCGACTGTCGCAATTTTCAGCTACCGGGAAGCCTCAGTGCAGCTATGCGCAGGAAACAAAACCAAGACTTGGTCAACCCGGAGTTTGTTCGAGATTTGCCTGAGTTTCTGGCAGCTATTGGAGAGTTGCATGATGGAAGCTGGGGATGCAAAACAGAATTGATGGATGCCTTTTTGCAATCTTCGGCGAATGCAAACCATGATCCGATGGAATTTGAGAAGGCAGACAAGGCTCGCTTTGCTGAATCCTTGGCGCAAGTGTGTGCAGCTGGGGCTTCTGGAGGTGGAGGCGGAGACGGAGAAGGGTTGAACGAGGAATTGCCAATGCAAAGAGAGCATGTCAAGGCCGCCTTCAAGCGTGGTAGCGTGTATGCTCTCAAGGGTTGTATGCGACAAGGAGAATGGAGCGTGTTCAGGGTGCTGCACACATCCCCAAGCTCCAACATGTACCTGCAGCGGGCGTGTCACATGAGCTTTGATGTGACTTGATCTGCGCTGAGCAAATGCTTGCTTATGCCTATGCCTATGCCCCTATGTTCCAACCTGTGTTGTAGCGGCCTGTAGTTGTAACCCCTACTTTCAATGTTGGAATCCTAGGCCCTAGGCCTGACCCACCTACTAAGTTACTAAGGCTTGGAAAAATTGTGTTGCCATTGAGCTGTTCAGCGGCCCAGCCATACCACTGACCGATGGAGCCCAAGATAGCCCGCCAGATGCTTTTGAAGTCCAGAGGCAATCAGTTACAGCGCTCAACATAGCCGACCTGTTCTGCAAGACGTGTGATTTGCACAACCTTTACGAATATACAGTGCCATGGCCATGGCCAAAGAAGTCTTTATCATCAAACACTATCTCTTGTTACTCTTGTTACTTGTTTTTTCTTACGTCGCGTCGTGACCCCAGCCCCCAGCCTACAAACATTGGTCGGAGGTCAAGTCGTGTGAGGATCAGCTTGAAGTAACCGAGGTCACCAGTACACCAGCGTTTGCTGAACCCTCCTTCCAGCAGTTGCTCTCAGATTTGGAGGACGACGTCGACGTAAACGCAGTCGCAAATGGTGGCTCTGGCCCTGGCGGCGAGCAGGGGTGTTTGTCAGATGGCTTGGTGTCTCTAGGCTGCAGCTTTGCTAGTGCCAGTGCCAGTGCAGTGCCACCTTGTTGTTATACTATGTTCTTGTAAAATGATCCTGCTACTGCTGCTGCTCAAAAGTCTCAAAAGGCACATATGACTGACTATGGCCTTGGACCAGGGACATAACATGCTTTTTTGTTTCCCTTTTTTGGCTGCTAGGGACTAGATACTAGAGACCTGCTAAATTATTGAAGGAAAGGACAAAATTTACTATGATACTATCAATGGTCAATCGTTGCATTCTTGTTCAAACGTGTATTCTAGTCGGTGGGTGATGTGGAGAATGAGTGTTCGCCTGTGGCCGCCTGTTTGAAGGGAATTTGTTTAGTTTTGAGATGTTGCAGTCACAGTCGCTATGCGTGTTCTTGAACATGCAAGGCAAGATGTTCGGAACGTAGCCAGCGAAGCCATCATGCTCGGACAAACTGTGCAATCGTCTGAAGCTGTTAGTAAGCGCAGAACGGCAGCAATTGCTTGGATGGAGAGAATGGGGACGCTTGCTCAGAACGGACTTATAGCTCAACAATTTGTCACTCTTCACACTGTCCTGCGCCAGCCGACCTTGCAAACGAACTGCGAGTCACGATTCTTCCTTCGCAAGCATCTGCAGGATTGTGGATGGTCTGCTGTAGAAGGAGCAAATGCAGCTTCTATTGAAGAACGGGCTTTCAACAATGGGGCTCCACTTGAATACTTTTTATTGCTGCAGAAGCATTTGGACGCATTGGGTGCATATGATGACAAGTACGGCTTTAGGCACTCCCAATCAAAGGCCTACTATGAGGTTCTGTTGGCTTGTTTTGCAGCGAAGCCAGGCTTTGACATAGAGCAACAATATGTTGCGCCTGGACAGAAGGCAGATGTTTACAAAGCATTACGAGACCACTTTGCAGGCGCGGCAGGTCATCCGGTCATCCGGTCATCCTTCCGTACAGTTCATTTGCCCAGATGGCTTAGTTGGCATGTCCTGGCACTGGCACCTGACCTGACCCATCCCAATTGATTATTGATTAATGAAGTATCAAAAAATCAACCCTGGCCCTGGCCCTGGCTCGCCCTTTGAGGTGAGGATGAGGCAGCTGACCCTCGCCCGAAACTTGATCTTTCGCAGCCTCAGGCCCGTGCAAAGCGAAGAAGAACAGCAACAGCAGCTGCTGATGCCGATGCTGATGCTGCTGCTCCAGCTGCCGTGGCAGCAATGCCAGAGACAGCATCTGGATCTGGAGGTCAGGCAACGCAGGATGGCGCCGCCAACAAGAAGCCAGGGTGGCTGGTTGTATTGCAAGAACGTGTTGTTCCTGCTTTGATCATCTTTGATCATTGATCTGATCCTAGTTAACTTAGTTAACTTTGCCAACGGTAGTCACCGGTAGTCGTAGTCAGTTTAGTACGGTAGTAGATAAAGGCTAGTGTCAAAAAAAACCCAAGACTCAGACTCAGACTAAGATTGCCTTTTTGTACAGGTTCAACTCAAAGCGAGGAAAAATGATAGCAACCCAGAATTGGCTGCCATGGCAGATCTTTGTAGAAACATTGCGCCATTGCGCGCATCGGCGTCATCCTCATCTACAGCAGCTGTGACTCATGAAGAGGATGATGAGGACCTTCCAGCGGCTCAGCCCAGTGTTCCAGAGCTACCACCACCTGAGCCGGCCCCTCCCCAGCCTGATGCTGTAGACGCAGAGCGTGTCCGACTGCTGGGTTTGTTGCACGCCAACAGAGGCTTTGTTTGTTTTGGGCTGCTCTTTTGACTCTTTGTGTAGTTTAGGTTTTAACCACTGGCGTTGGTGCATGTAGTCATTCATTGGGCCCTTAAGCTTGATTATGTCTTGCCAGTTTTGAGATTGTCAAAGAGTGCAGTGTTCATGCCTCTCCACTTTTCTATACTCATGTGCTGAGGACAACGGGCATTGGAGGAAGCTGCAGACATTGGTCGCTCTTATCATAGAAGCGAAACCAAAGAACGAGTAGAGTGTGTTCAGAGCATCTTGCAAAGGCTGGCGGTGGTCTTGACTGACCCAAGCCATTGTGAGAAGAGTCCCCAAAATCAAGTTGAGAAGGCAGGGAGGGAGGGAGCAGGGAGCCGGGCCGGGACATTTTTTGTTTGTATTATGTATTGTTTGCAGTCAGTCAGTCAACTGTACTGCGTACAGTACACGGTCGTAAATGTATTATATTGGCGTTGTCCTGACAAGAATGCCAGCAAACTAAAACCCTTACCTGCTTTCAATTTCAATTCGGTTGCAACTTCAACCTTCAGGCCCTGGATCAAATGATGCACGACAATCTCAAATGTCGTGGCCTGAGTGGCCTGATTCCTCGGATCATCGGATGACCACATGAATTGCAAAACCTTTCAGCCTTTCATCCTTCCAAATCCTTCCTCAACCACCAGAACCAACACTCTTTACTCTTCCACCTTGACAGATTTCCACCTTGACATTGACTGCTGACTGCACATTCACTGCCAAGGCTGGGGACAGTACGACCTGTGGACGCGACGGAGAACTGTCAGCGACCTCATTTTGCTAGTGTACTTTGATGCGTTCAAAGAAGCCATACTTCGCCCTACAGAGTAGGACTAAGTACCGGAGCGCTCAAAGAAAAATTATGGCACCCTGTCACTGTCAGCCTGAAGTGCTCAGATTAAGCAATCATGTGACTGTGACGTGTGATGTGCAGAGCAAAGCACCTGTCAACTCCTGTTCTTCTTTTCTGGTTCATTCTCAGCCTCATGTAACGTGACGCAAGCTTTTCAACTTTTGCTCTTTTTGAGGTGTGAGTGTGAGCTGCAGTGGGTTGACTCAAACCACCGTTCAGGGCCTGTCTCTGAAGTTGAAGCGTTCGCCATGTCAGTCCGATTTCGGCTTCCGTGCTTGGCTGTTAGTGACGATAACGAGCTGAGCAATCCTGCTCAAGGTGCCAAGAAGACAAGGTCGCGTTCACCAAGGAGGCAGAGCGATGCCACCAATCCAGTTCCAAGGCTTACTAGAAAGGAGGTGAAGTCGGAGATGCTCCAGATCAATGACTTGAGTGAAATACCAGAAAAGATTCTAGATAAATTCCAGTTCATGCGGCAGTTGGTATTTCATGGTCTTGGCATTGGGCAAACCACGGCGTGGAAAGAGTTTTGGCATTCATACCAATTCCGTTTTCAGCGACGTAGTTGATAGGTAGGGGGGGTCACTTTTGGTTTGCAAATATAAATACTTATCAAAGAATGACATTCAAGGACGTGCGCATCCACTCTGAGTTTGCTGGCTATGGCACAGCGGAGCTAGTGGTGGAATCCATTGCTGCAATCTGTGGTGAGATGGGGTTCAGAATGGGAGTGAAACGGGCATCTGGCGACATGAACTCACATTGCCAGAAACTATTGCTAGCAAATTCTGACGATGGTTGCGTTTTTGGAGACATTCTCAATCTTCTCCCTGATGCTGTTAGAGATCGAATTGCGGAAGGGATCAAATTCGAAGTCAGTGTTTCCAGCACTGATGTCCAACATGCTCTAACTTCCTTACAGAAGGGAACAGCTGACCAATTGTTCACTTCAAAAGGTCGGCTCATTTGCAAGATTGGGGAGATTGTGGACAGGGACATGGTCTTGGTTGGTGTACCGGGTGACACAGAGAATACCCCACTTGCCATGAAGAAGCTGAAGAAGTTGGTCAACGCCAAGAAGTATTCAACGAAGACATTTGTGTTCCAACGCAGGACCAGAGTGGTCAAAGTCAAATAAAAAAACAAAAGGTACACATAAGGGGTTTGGTGGCTAAACTAGTTTAGCCACCATTGGTGGCTTAACTGGTGGCTTACGGGTGGCTTAACTTTAAGTTTAGCCACCATTGAGCCACCATAGACTAATTTAAAAGGGAATCAGTTAAGCCACCATTGAGCCACCAAAAAAAGTTAAGCCACCATAAAGTTAAGCCACCATGTGGTGGCTAAATTAGTTTAGCCACCAACACCCATTTGACCCTGAAAAACAACTGCATGAATCCCGAATCGTGATTGCGGCAGGATGAACTTTGGGGAATTGGAGGACATCATCTGCGTACCCGAATTGGAGTTGAAGCAGTTCAATCATTGCTTGCGTCACATCTGTCAGTGTAGAAGAGTTTTCAACCCAAATGATCGACAGCAGGGCCAGTGCAAGGTGCTAAACATCTTGGCAGCTGGATCCCCATGTCCGGACTATAGCAACTTTGGTAAACATTGCGGTCAGTCTGGTGAGGCTGCTCCAGCTTTCATTACATTGAGCCTCGTAGCATTCTCACACTGAATCATTTCCTTGTATGTGTGCATGAGCACGTTACAAGTGTTATTCTTCTGCTATGAACAGACTGTTCGGCCCAATTCCAAGGATGAAACAAGTGCTTCAAGCCCAACCGTTGGCATTTCTACATGAAAATGTTCCTTCTTTTCCTATTGGCGAGTTGGAGCGAATCTTAGGTGGGGTTCTGTGACTGTGACTTCGGACATCGGTAATATTTGGCACGGTTGCAAAGCATAAATCATCTTGCTTTCTTTTGGCAAGACCATCCTGTTCAGCCAGGCCGTGACTACATCGTGGAATCGGTGCAGTTGGACCCGACTGATTGTGGGTTTCCTGTCCAGCGCAAAAGACAGTATGCTTTGGCAGTGCACAGATCCTGCATGTGGGACCAGAGCCATGTCAACAATTGTTTTTCACAGCCAATGCGCACAGATTTAGTTAGCAATCAGTTGGCTTTCTTCACACTGTGTGATGGCATCTTTGAGGAAATTCAGTGGCCTCAGCCGGTTCGTCAGCGATTCGTGTGACTTGCTTGGACGCCTGAATTTGGTTCT